TAGTTTTTTTTTTCAATAGATTGCAACACATCAATATAGCTTTCTACACCATTTTTGTTAAAACGCTTGTTACAAAGAAGGAAACATAATTCGTAGAAAGCTTGGTACACCTTTTAAAAGCCCTTTCTTTAAGGTTTTTTTAAACATGCTTTTATTTGCCGTAGAAGTGAGTTCGTTTTGAAATGCCGTGCCTTGAAATACAAGAGATCCAGTTTCATGGTTTTTTCGTCAACAAATCCAGCACCGAAATTTTTATATTTCGTCTCTAAATTCTTCACAAGCGTGCAAAATTTTTGAATATCAATACAATGAAGATCAGAGAGCTGCTTCGGTGGGGACCAAGTGTCGTAGGCGATAGTGGTGTCGATAATAATTTATCCACAGACGAACCCGGTGTTGAACCGGGGGAGCAACCTATATACAATCGGGGGCTCCTTATATAGGTAGTAAGGCGCAGCTGACCCGTGCACAATCAGACTGCCCAAGAAATATATGCAAGAAAGAGGATGCCGCGGCTTGGCGCGGCCCCTGGAAGATAGGTGCCACTCACTGGTGAGTGATTCGGCACTCAAATATAAGCAGTTAGGGAATATAGCCTATGGGGAATACCTGTGAGCTATTGGGATTATAGAATTGTTGAGGTTGATGATACATAAATCATCAACACTCCGGGCGAGCAAGGAGGAGGCGAAATCTGTTAGCATGTAAATAGATAAATACAATCAAAACCTCCTAGAAGCATTTGTACTTAGAAATTGAGGTATAGCTGCATGAGTGTAGCTATCAGATTGGTTGCTGAGGTTAATGATTGATTCATAGATCATCAACAATCCGGGCGAGCAAGCAAGAAGTTAATTTATGGGAGCTACAGACAGAAGAGAATTTACGGTGAACAACTGTAGTGGTTGGTGGTTGCTGTTGGTGGTGTAGCTTCGCCTTTCGTCGTCGTCTCTTCTTCCTCGTCGGTTCTGCCCTCGTCGATTTTGAGTTGACAGAATCGTTATCGGTGATTGTCTTCGTGATAGTCGGCGTTTTCGTGATCATATGGTTGTGATGTGTGATCTTGGGCATGTCCGTCATCTTTATCTTAGCTTGTGTCGTCGGTTGAAGAGTTCTGGCAAGAGTTCCATTCGCACTCCTCGTGTTGGGGCTGGAACTGGAGCCTAATATGCAGCGAACTTTGGCCAGCCATCGTTGTCTGTCTGCCTTAGCTTCGCGATTAGCAGCAGTTGTCCGGGTTTTCTTCTTTTTCGATAACGACTTCGCGATCTTTTGAGATGTTACTTCAGTATGCGCTTGGAAGATTCTCCTGTTGATTCCAGTAGCGTTTTGATTGAAGACGGTGAACGTATTCTTTGTCGTAAGCCATTTGGGGCGTCGCTGCGGGTGAGAAGCGAGTTTGGAGGCTTCCTGCATCATGGATGTACAACCAAAAGTGCCGACGATCTCCGTGACGTTGATACGGCTTGTACCAGATATGACATATCCAAAGATGGTCGGGGTCAATATGAGCCCGGAGGGAAGCTTGAGCACTGTTTCGGTGTGAACAGTGACGAGGTTCAGAAGATCTTGTCCAATGATGAGTTCAGGCAAGACGCTTTTATGAGTGAGCGTATCTTGAGCTATCTTCAAGTTCTTATTGGAAATGAACTGAACATCTGCATCTGTGAGATGTGCTGTATGTAAGTTGGCAGTCAACTTCTCTTTCGTGTGCACTGATATCTTCTTAAGCTTCTTTGCGTTGTGAAAGCTTTTCAAAGTAATTTGCACTTCATTGGAACTGAATGTCTCTTTCAATTCTCCCATTCCTGATGTGGTGAATGACGTCGTTTGGATGACTGGCAGCTTAAGCTCATCACCAAATTTTGATTTGATGAAGCTTCGCTGGGCGCCAGAGTCAATCAGTATTGTTATGGGTTGATAATCCCAAATTGCCTCGTTGAATATCATGGCTGAAGCCGTTTGAAGTACGCTTTGGCACACGACTGGCAGTTTAGTTGAGCTGTAGACTTTTTGTCCATTTCGCCGTGCAACGGGTACTTCACTTGTTTTGCGATGATCGAAGTTGGTTCTTTGCAGTATCTTAGAGACTTGCAAATGATGAGTGCTAGCAGGAAACTGAGACTGCTCGAGATACTCTTCCTCCTCTTTCCATTTCGGACTTTCAGTACTTGTGTCCAGATGGTTGCTTCTTTGAATGTTGCTTGGAAGAAGTGTCTTCATTGTTAATGCGGTCGTTTCCCGAAGAGAGATGATGTCATCTATCGCGTCTAGGATCTCCGAAACATCAAAGTGATCGCCAACTACGGTTTCCTTCTGTATGACTGTTGCGCAGATGGCTTCAGGAAATTTCGACAAGATTAGTCGGCGCCAGATTTTGTCTGCGCTCATCTTCATTCCGGTTTGTTCCAGGTGAATGATCCGCGAATTGATTGCTTCGAAAGTTTCTCGGCAACTTTCGGTATTGTCTTTTGCTCCTTGAAGTCGTTCGATTTCATTGATGAGTATATCTGCCATGCTGGCAGAGCGATCAAAGTGCTTCTTCAGGATGTCTACGGCTGTCTTGTATTTGTTTCCAACGACAGGGATGCAGTTCAAAGCAGCAGCTGCTTTTCCTTTGAGCGCTTGCTTTAGAAAAAGGAATTTGTCGCCGTCCGATAAGTCTTCGTCGCAGTGAATAAGTGAATTGAACACTGTCCAAAAACTGTTGAACTCTCTGAAGTTGCCAGAGAATGTAGGAACCTCTAGGAGCGGTTTCCGGATCCTGATCTGGCGTTCACTTCGTTCCGTTGTTGAGCCTCTTCCTATCTCGCTGTCTGGCTGACTCGGAATACTAGGAGCAGGCGTATGCAAAAGTGTCGTTTGCTCCCTCAGTTCATGTTGTCTGAACTGTATTCTGTTTTGCCATTGAACTGCTATCACTTCCAGATCGAGTGCTTCCAGCTCCAAATGCTTGCTAAGTTCAACCATCAGCTTCTCTCGTTCCTTTTCTTCACTGCATGCGCTGATGGCAGCGTTGAGCTGTGTTTCTTGCAATTTCACAGCGTTTTGCAAAGAATTGAGGAGATTTGTTATTACTCCTGCCTTTTCTTTGATATATTCTTCACATTCCGCTTTTGTTGTTGGAAATGTGAAGGGGACGTCTACGTTCTCCACTTCGGACTCGTAGGATTTTACGAGCTTGCAAGCGTTGTTGATTTTGTGTTTGAAGAGTTGAAGAGCGGCCATTTTTGCTATACCGACTTCTAATTCTTCTCTTCCTTAGAAAGCTGGTTGCTTCGAAGGTACAAGTTAGCAAGGTTTCGTTAACTTGTACACGTATCTTCTGGTGATCCGTTGAGTAGAGGCAGCTGTGGTGCTGGTCTCTGAGTTGCAAGCGTGCCGGGGTGGCTTGAACGCTGTGCTGACGGTAAGGTGGCTTGAACCTTGACCAGATAAGGATTGGGTTTCAATCCTCTTAAGTCAAGAGTTCTTGGTCGAACTCTGACTTTTTTGGCAAAATGAGCGCTTGTGACTCAAGTTACCTTCCTTTCAAATCTCAATGTACTGATCTCCGGTCCTTGGATAGGATTCGTGAGAGATCAATGAGATTGATTGGAAATTTGCACCCACAAAAATTTGTTCCGCTCTCTGGATCACTTACGAAAAGGATTCACAGAAAGTTTCACGGTCTTATGTGGTTAGGTGCTGCACTCACAAAATTTGTTCCACTCTCTGAATCGCTTACGGAAAGGATACACAGAAAGTTTCACGTATTAATGTGATTATGTGCTCCACTTGACTACTCTTTCACTTTCTGGATCACTTACGAAAAGGATGCACAGAAAGTTTCCAAGTTGTCTGTGGTTGTGTGGTAACACTGATTCTTTCCCACTCTCTGGTTCGCTTACGAAAAGGATGCACAGAGAGTTTTCAAGAAAAAGTTCACACGACCGACTGATTTTTCCTACACCCCTCTGGATCACTTACGAAAAGGATGCACAGAGATTTTCAGATAGTCAGTGGTATTCCTTCCGATTTCTCTTACACCTCTTTGGATCGCTTACGAAAAGGATACATAAAGATTTTCAGATAGTCGGTTGGTTCTTCTCCTGCCACGCGGGTCTTGTGGCCTCGATTCCTCCGGTTGCAGATGGAGTACGAGGTGGTTTCACTGGTCGATGCACCAATTTGGTGGGAACCAAGTGTCGTAGGCGATAGTGGTGTCGATAATAAATTTATCCACAGACGAACCCGGTGTTGAACCGGGGGAGCAACCTATAATACAATCGGGGGCTCCTTATATAGGTAGTAAGGCGGAGCTGACCCGTGCACAATCAGACTGCCCAAGAAATATATGCAAGAAAGAGGATGCCGCGGCTTGGCGCGGCCCCTGGAAGATAGGTGCCACTCACTGGTGAGTGATTCGGCACTCATATAAGCAGTTAGGGAATATAGCCTATGGGGAATACCCGTGAGCTATTGGGATTATAGAATTGTTGAGGTTGATGATACATAAATCATCAACAGCTGCGCTACAAAGTGTTGAAATAAGACTTCCAAAATTTCGGATTGGTGCCCGGACGACACGCTAGTGCGTAGCGGTGCGTAGTAATGGCGTTATTTTGCCTTGCAGCTGATCATGTGCTCAGACAATCGCAGAAGTTCCGGGGAAAACTGAAGTTTCAAAACTCCCGGTGGGACACTTCTCTTGGAGCTGCCATGTAGGGCGCGACCAGGTACGGCCGGACCCACCCACGGCCCAATAGGGGCGTCCGCCCCGGAAGTTTCAAAAATTCAGTTTTCCCCGGAAGTATTTTGCGATTGTCTGATTGTGAGTGAAAACTAATGGTGGTAGGAATCGCGCGTTTTTACTCAATTTTCCCTGCTATAAGGCGTCAATAAATCAGCGTTCTTCTTCCCCAGCGAGGATGCTAGTGCAGCGGCCCTTTGTCTTCAATGAACAACCTTATCAATGAGGATAGCATGGTCATTGTTATTTGTCATGGTCTCTGTTCCAGATTGCACATGCGTGGAGCTCTTGTGAAACAATTCGGAGGTCCAGAAGTAATCAAGATTGTCTTCGATTTACCAAAACCTACTATTCAGACTGGAAAGCAGGTAGAGAAGATTGATCTATGCCTTTATTTCCATGCCAGAATGACGAACTAATGCAGGGCTGATATATATAGATATATCTTTCAGTAAGTTCCAACAATAATTTGCTTGGTAATGCAACACGCAAACAGTGTATGCGACATCTATGAAAACAAGCCCTAATTAGTACTTTAATGGTACGTTAATAATCACCCTGTTTCAAAATTTGGGCGTTTCCGATGTTGTAAACTCGTAAACTTGCTGGCCCTTTGTGCATTTGCAGCATCAATTTTGCTGCTGAGTCGGCTCTGCTACCGTTTAAGTGTATTGCCAGTTTGGGGTTTTTAGAAGATTCTGAATTTTCCGGGAAAAATTGGAAAGTAACAGAATTATTTGCTAACCTAATATTAGGTTGTCCCGAAAGTTTTGTCCGTTTTTTAAAAACACCATAAAACCACGTACAATAAACGCGTGAATGAGTTTTGACATGCATTCGATGCAGCTTTTCCTTCTCTTTCTTACAGACACATTTTCGTACCAGAGCTTTGTATGCTTTTTCTGATAATTGCCAGAATTCTCCACCCGTCAATTTTATCTACTCAAAGTTTGGCTAATTTTCAAAATTCTCATTCCAACGTTTCGGAAAGCGCCGAATATGGATCACATAGAGCGTTCTCGGACTACAAGGCAGTATTATTGGAGTCTTCCAATCCAATGTTTGGCTACAAAAAATTATTTCTTTTGAGGTCTCGCTTTTTGGCAATGTCATGAAACACGCAAATGCAGCAAATACTCGAGAACCTCTATAGTTTTTCGCGAGTTGAAACATGATTCTATTTGAAAATTATTTGTGCAACACATAATCAAGTTTAATTTGCTTGAAAAATCAGCTTTTTGGGATTTTCGTTACCTTTACGTGGTAAAAGTAATCAAAAAGCCGCTTTTTTTATTGAATAAAAAATTATAATGGACCTGGTAAATGTGTTCCATGTAATCCAAAACGGGTACAATGTAGCCAAAGGCTTGTTCTACATAACATTTACCGGCGCTCTTCGAAAAGTTCGGTATAAAGATTTTTAAAATTCAGGAAGGATTTGGCGTTACTGCTGAGGTGCTTAAAATCCATGGCGATAACATTGCAAAGACAGGGTAGATCAGAGAGCAAATATAGCTGTAATAAGATGATGAAAATATGAATTAAATGGTACCTAAGTCGTCCATGGGTCGGTGTTCTGCGAGTTTTAGTGATCGATGAAACAAACGAACAAAACTTTCGGGACAACCTAATATATAGATAACGAGTCTAGTAGATAGTCTGTCTACCTAATGCTGATCATTCTTCTTCGGAGTAAAACTGCTCTTATTCACATTTCTCCGACATTTCTTGCAAGTTTACTGGATTATTCGAATTCCCTCCACGAGTCGCTCGCCTTTCATTTGCTATAAATAGTGGCGCCAACCATTTCTTCATACTGCACTGCCTGACATTTAAGCTAATGTCCCATCTTTGTATCGTCGTGTCATTTGTAATTCAGTATGTGAGCCTGAACGTTAGGAAAAAGAGTTGTGTTCGCGTGATCGGCAGCTGCTGAAAAACTGTAGTAAAATAGACAGTGTTCACTTCTTTCAACTCAACTATAAAAGCCGATTATCAGTAGATGAGAACTGGTCATTATGTCGCTCAAACATAATGTAAGAACAGAAGATTTTGCGCGTGAAAATCGCATTAGAGATGTAGATGTTCGTTCTCCTTTTTTGCTTTAACATGGCTTCGCTTCTGCTGGGAAATCTAAAACCTCAAATATGACCGGTCTCCGAGAAATGCATAAGTTTTTTTTTCCATCTTCTTATCAACTTTCAAACAGTTTGTGCACTTTTAGCTCACTTCATAGTCTGTCTACCTAATGCTAAAATTTGAAAGCGCCTTATTCAGAAAAGAAGCTAAGAACAAAATTGCTAAACTTAGTTTTCAAACTATTATTTACTTAAAGTCATCAATTTACGATGGCTTACGACAATTTTGGTTGTCAACAGGTGCTCGTTCGTGTTGCTGCTGCAGGCGTTAACCCAGTTGATACTTACATCCGCAATGCCCAGTATCCGCTCCTTCCGAAGCTTCCGTACACTCCAGGAAGAGACGGTGCCGGAGTGGTAGAAGAGGTTTAGGTTTGACTTTAGATCATGTGCCAACTATGCTTTTGTGTATATCGATATTCCTCAGATTGGCGGAGATGTTAGCCATGTAAAAGTAGGAGATCGTGTTTATTTTTTGGCGAATAATGGAAGTGCTGCGGAATACTGCTTGACAAATAACGTCTTCCCTCTTCCTTGTGGTTAGCAAACCTGTACCCTACGAACTGTAACCCATCTCAAACTTTCGTTTAGGTGTTTCTTTCGAAGAAGGAGCTTGCCTTGCAATTCCGTACATGACAGCGTTCAGAGCACTATTTATACTTGGAGGTGTCAAGGTAAATGAAAAAATAAATGATATGTGGATAAAGTGTGCGTAGCATCGAGTGCCACTGTCTAGTCTACGCCTCAAAATTTAAACTTCCAACCCATTGACACGACGCCTATCCGCGTAGCGGCGCTGAGGGACGGCGCGATTTTGCACAACATTTTCGGTGGGATGGTTTTGCGGTTATTTACGAAATGCAAGGTCATTTGTAAACAACTATAAACATTTTCTTGAACAACGAAGCCTGTCCCTAGTGCAAACAATTGGAAAGAGTACCAATATGTGGAAAAAAATACTAGACCTACAAATATAACTTTGCAAGAGGTGTGAGCACATCGTCCCTAGCAACAAAAAATGCGTGAGCCCTCGGTGGTCCACGTCTTCGTCAATGGGTTAAAAACTAATGAAGCACCACACTTCTCAATACTTGCAACTAAAGCAGATGAAAAAAAAATATTAATATGGAAATACTGAGAAAGGCTCACGAGAGTCGCAACTTGTGCAGCGATCTCAAACAACATGCCACAAGTTTCCAAGTTTGTCTAACTCCTACGTTTGCGCCTAAGAGTCACGAAGATATGGAAGATTTGACTACTACTTCCCGCTGAGAACCGTCGTTGTTAAGTTTATACATATGTATCAAGCATAAAACAAACCTGGAAGCTTATAAAGGAAGTGTTTGGGCAATCGCGAGCTGTATTCGCTCACGTCGGCTTATCCATCTCGCTCTTTTCGCAAGTGTGGAAAGGGCGAAAATACCGAAAATGGGCTTTTCGAAGCCCTTGAATTCTGAGTTTGGACCTGCGGCAGAGCTCCCCAAGCTAGAGACGCAGCACTGTTGTGGGGATCTGTGGTCCCGACTGTCCCGATTTGCGCATTCCAGCATTGGTGGAAATCCAAGGGTGGGTGGAATCCGGAAGTGGACGCGGGTCCGCAACACTTTCGGAGCAAACTTTAAGCATTGTAGGCGCTTTATTAATCAGCGGGGGGGGGGGGAGAGGGGGGGCTGCTACCATAATGATGCTTCGCGCACCCAACTATGCCGGTTTGCGTGCGAGAAATCTGCGTTCAATCTGCCTTCCGGATCAGGCCAAAATAACATGATGCGCACGTACAGCCATGGTTCTGCGTAGGTAGCGGCCTCGGCATCCTTCGTAACTGCTAGTGCACACCGTGTTAGGACCAGTAGTCCCAGAGATGGCGCCTTGTGGAGGTGTTCGTTCCTCTAACCGTTTGCGTCGCATTTGAGTTAAGCGCCATACTTATCCGCTCCAACCACTTTCGGTTCAGTTAGTCACTGTTGGTCATCTGTGATCGACCAATAGTGAATGAGTGAACCGAATGAACCGGATATGTAGGGGGTCTGCCTAAGGCACCCGCCATACTTCATCCTCATCCGCTTAATCCACTTAATCCGCTTGATTCGCTTGATCCGCTTGATCCGGTTCGTGCGAGCGCGCACTCAGCAATCTGTTTGGCGTCGCGTACAGCGAATTTGCTTAACCATACGAGATTCCTTTTTACATACGCGGCGCCAAATGACAGACTGCGAGCGCGCGCGTTTTGCACGAAGCGGATCAAGCGGATCAAGAGGATCAAGTATGGCGGGTGCCTAAGGTTTGCTATCGTGGTCGTGTTAGGACCTTTTTGTTTTCTTCTCGTTTTTTGTGATATCTCGAGCATCACCTCAAACCTCCTACCGTAACATTCCGCGCGATTTTGACCCATCATCCGATTGGGGCAGGTTGTAGGTCCCTTATGCACGGCCGGACTCATTGCGGACCTTCTGCGCCTCTCTAAATCAGCTAGTACGCCTAGCTTGTGATGCCGCTAAACCTCACAGAGAAGGTCCACATGTAGCATATTACTCAAACAGTCGAAGGGATACCTGCGGAGCGAAAATGGGAGGGTCCCGGGCTCTGCCCAGCGGAGGTCTGCCACTCGTGCTCCGGGGCTCCTCCAAATCTGGCGCATCCCGGCGTCACCATGACGTCACAAGAAGGCGAATGGCCCCTCCCTGGTTCTTGCAAATTTTGCTCCGGGGGTGCGCCAGATTTGGAGGAGCCTCGCAGCACCAAAATGGGTGAAAAGGAAGGGCCCCGGAGCACGAAGTGGCAGACCCCCGCCATTTGCCCTCCGGAGGTATCCGACTGCCTGAGAGTTCGGGACCCGCTGCAGTTTTCCGCTATTGGAAGATTTTTGAACTGAGCTAACAATTCTTTCATTAGATAAGAATCAGCGATAATAAAAAAAAAACTTTGTCTGTATCAAGACGTTTTTAGAAAGGAACAACAGTTCTGATTCATGGTGCCTCCGGCGGAGTCGGTCTGGCAGCTGTGCAGATGGCATTCCATTCTGGAGCTGTTGTTGTTGGAACAGCGGGCACAACAGAAGGACTTGAAATTGTGAGGAGGAACGGAGCTAGCGAAGTGTTCAACCATAGAGCTTCTAATTACGCACATGAAATAAAGAAAAAGTTTCCGAATGGTCAGTACAAAGAAATTTACTCTTATTACCGACGCCAGCGCTTGTGCAAGATTCTGCAGTGTAGCATTACAGGTCTTGACCTCATATTAGAAATGGCAGCTCATCAGAATCTGCGTACTGATCTCGAACTACTAGCACGAAACGGCAAAGTAGCAGTCATAGGCAGCCGCGGTGAAATCACGATCGATCCAAGGGCTCTTATGACGAAGGAATCCAGTATTTTCGGTAAGGATATAATCAGAAGTGAAAAATGTTTTTGTCATACTAAAAGTTCAGGTGTAACGCTAGCGAATTCCACAGACACAGACCTAATGACTTCGTCCGCATTCATCTCGGAATTTCTCGCTTCTTCCAAATACCGTCCTGTAATTAACCGAACATACCCGCTGAGCGAGATTGACAAAGCGCACAGCGACGTTATGGCGGGAGCCGGTGCTAGAGGAAAATTGATTGTCTCTCTCAATGACCAATGATTATTTATTTCTGTGCGAATTTTCAAGAACCTCTATAAAAGCAAAACACTGTTCTGTTTTTCTGTCAACATCCGGTTGAAGAGAAGATTGTTACAGCAACCAAGCAATAAGATGAACCCAATAATGTGAGGGAAGAAAAGTAATGTCTACAAGACAATTACATATTGGTGTCAGTCGTGAGTCGTGTATTATGCTAAACTTGAAGCCAAAACAGGATAGCAGCTCATAATGTCAAAAACTCGGACCATTCCCCCCCCCCCCCCCCCCAATCCTACGAACCTCTCACTTGCCTCTGCATGTAACAGACACATGTACTTATCTTCATGTATACTTGCTACATTTCTTCGTGGTTAGAAATCAAGAAAGATTCAAAAAATGGAAAATGGCAAGCTCCACACCCAATAGTCCTGAGCTCCTCCCATAAATGCCTTGCGTACTCTCCAAAACTTCAACCACAAAATTGCCTTTGACATGCCCAAGTTTTGTGGACTATTAAAATTAGCTGAACAAAAAACCGAAAAAAGTGACATTTTTTTGCAATCTAATAGCGTTAACGAAGTTTTCATATGAGTCAACGCTCCTTCGACACTAAAATCTGCCTATAGTAAGCTTACAGAGCAGCTTGCATCTTCCCAATGGAATGCGTTGCAAAGCTTCATTCCTTCCAAATTTTGGCCTTGCAAGGTAAAGATGAGCGATTACAATGATAACTCGCAATTTTCGCGCACTTTCAAAGCAGCGTTCGGGCAGATATGAAATTGTAGCGTGCAGAGGCTTTCTCCCTGATAAAGCTCTTGCCCAACTGCACTGTACTGCTTTGCTTCTGAAGCGAGAAAACCCTTCAGAAATAGCGACCGGGAACGCCCCGCAGACCCGCCCACCCCTTTCAAGATAGCCAAAGTAAGTCGCACATAGAGACATAGGGTCCCAACACAACTCTGCACGTTGATATTCAAATCAAGAGTGTCTGGAGTAGACCGTTATCAAAATTTTCTTACTCTGCAAGCTGCATTGTCGTGATCGGCTGGAAGAATAAGTCCAGGTAAGCGAAAAAAATTTTGTTCGAAATTTTGTCCGCTCGCTCCCTTTAAGGACTGGAGTATAAAACTGGAAAAAAGGTTCTTTCGTCGAGATGAGCCTTCGGTTAAAGACCATAATTTTAACAGAGTTGAAGGTATTACATTTGAGATAAAGCTGCCTCGGATGCAAATGCTGTCAACTATCTTGGTTTTTTTTACAAGAGATAATATGCATGCGTTATAATCCCAATCTTTCTTTATAAAGTACTCTTCTGCAACTAAGATAGAAGATTCTGAATGAAACATTTACGATTCAAAAAGACATGCACATGCAAGACGATTCAAATGCGCAAATAGAAAACTCAAAAAATAACTCAACATATGGTACAGAGGTTAATTTACAGAAGCTCGCACTCGACAGACATTCAAAAATCAAATAGTAAGAAATGCTTCGTATAAGCTGCAAACCTTAACGATTGCGGGTAGCTTTGCTTTCTCGGGATGAACCTCCAGTGAAAAAACTAGGTCTAGTCTTTGGAAGCTTTTCATTACCTGAAGTAATAAGATGAAGAAGAAAAATTAAATATCAAAATGCGCACCTCCATAGCGCGCTCTTTGCACTGCGAAAGCTCACGAATATTCTTTTCTCTGCTGAGTTTCTGCAAATCTGTTGATAAGACAAGAGTGTAAGCTAGGTATCATTAGTCAATGAAATGGAAGGGGTTTCAATTTCATGCATAGAATTCGTGCATATATGTTTTTCAGTCATTTTCAAATGTTCAGAAAGTAGCCTGTAATCAGATTCTTACTGAAATCGCCAAGGAATACAGTTTGTTTTCAATGACATTTACCATCTTGCCACTCGTGCTAGCAAGGTCTCACTGCAATGAATCCCAAAATTTTCTCGAAGAGCGTAGCTGTAAGAAAATGTGCCTCTCCCTCCCCCTTCCCTCAAAACTGTCTTGGACCGCCAATGCCAATCGGCGTTGATCTAAGAGTAAGCATAAGCAACTGCGTCAGCTTCGCCTAGCTTCGCAGAGGCTCACAATGGTATACTTTCGATGATTCAGCCAGCACCAAGATTATTATAGCATTTTCGGCTAACGTTTCGGACTAGTCGCTTTCGTCAGGGCCTTTGCTGTCAGATTAAGGTAGAAGCACCGCTGACTGGAATGCACTAACAACACACTATATTTGCCTTGCTCCTGCCTGCATATTGGAAAGTTTCAAAACTCTGGGATCTTGGCCGCCTCAAATGAAATGTAAACAAATACTCGATCTAAAAGCTTCTCATATGAGGTCCGAAACGTAGATAAAGGCAGAAAAAACCGCTGAGCAGAAGAGTAAATGCATTTTTGAGTCAGCTAATAGAATATTGAAGCTGTAACGTAGACGCAAAAAAATTCAAAAATCTGGACAGAAACTGTTAGTGTCCGGAATTGTTTAAAAGCCGGTGACAACAGTAAGTCCGATGTTTGAGAGCGAATACACATTTTGCGAATACAAAACTGTATTAGATCTAACACACGTATCGAATGAATGGAACGCCGAATCCTTTATTTTTGTAATTCTCGAGTAGCGATTAAATTTGTGCTCCTCATATCTGTGCAAACCAATGCATATTACACGGATTGCTTTGGTCTGTGGGAGATGAAAGGCTGTTGCATAAAAGCGGAAAATGAGCCTTGATCCCACCAATAAGGGAAGAAAGGTTAGTCGATGTAGCAATTTTGGTGGAAAGCTGATTCTAATTGTACGTTTCTTATTTGCTGTGAGCTTGTAAGCAAGGTATTTTGGAGTTTCACTTACTTAGATACATAGATGGCCCGTCCTCGCGCGACGTGCGGGACCCAGTACAAAAGTTTTTGTCCCTCGCTTCAGACATCCACGATCTTCTTGGTTGTCGTCGGTGGCTGCGTCCACGAGTTCGAGGTGCGAAAAATCGTATCCAGCTGATTTCTCAGCTGGTCCATCCGTTCCACGAACACGTCTGCCCATTTCGTTGAAGGTCTTCCTCGTGGACATTACGCTTCGCGAGGAATCCACTCCAATGTTCTTAGTGTCCATCTGTCGCCTGTTCTTTTCACGATGTGACCAGCTCATCTATGTTTTGCTTGCGCAACGTATTCCGCTCAGACTGAAAATTCTTCTTAAATCCATACTGCGAAGCCGACAAGATGTTGATTGTGCCGGGTTATCTTAAGAGGACTGCGCTCGAGCGCTCTGTGGTGGTCAGTAAAGCTTTCTACATGGCTGCGGTGTCGGCTCAAGTCTCAGCTGCCTAAAGGAGCGCCGGGAGAACGTTTGAGTCGAACAGGAGGGCACGAAGCTCCGGGTCCGTCAGTTGGTCGGTGGCTTCCTTCAGAGGCCCGAAAGGGCTCAAGCTGCCTTTTCCTCAAGTCGTTCTCCATATTTATCGAACGTTCGTGATACACTAAGAAGACGTTTCAATAGGGGTGCCCTCCAATTTCTCGCATCTTTACAAAGGCCGTTCTTCATGAACTGAGTCTTTTTCCAATTCATTCGCAATCCGATCTTCCTCCCTACTTCGTTTAGTTCCTTTAACAACGTCTCTGCTACAGTGATACCGCTCAAGAAGAGAACGATGTCGTTCGCAAAACAAAGGTTGGACAGGAATCTCCCATCAACTCGTATGCCTCCACCCACTGCAAGGCCGCGGTGAACAGCTTCGCCGAAGTGTCGCCTTGTCAAACCTCCTTCCCAATTGGAATGGTTAGGGGACGATGGAATAGCTGCATCGTTGTTGTACAGTACTTACAGCAGTCAGCTAACATCCTCACGTAAGCCGGGTCCTCTCCTTAATGAGCGCCGACAGGATGGCGTTGGTTACAACGCTGTCAAAGGCTTTCTCGTAGTCGACGAAGGTAGGACGAGAGGCAGTCGGTACTCCCGGCAGACTTCTATGACACTTGAAACCGTCTAGATGTGTTCCATGCAGCTGAGTCCTTTGCGAAATCCATCTTGTACTTGTGGTTGGGTTTCATCCAGTGTCCTGGATATGCGAACGAGGATAAATTTCGTGAAAAGCTTGTAGAGCACACTCAGCAAGCATACTGAACGGTGGTTCCGAAGATCCTCACATTCATCCTTCTTGAAGAGAAGGACGGTTCTTGACGTTCTCCACTGGTCATCCTCTTCTTTTGAAGGTAAGATGTCAGGTATGAGGCGAATCTCGCGTAGACGTTGTCCTCCGGCTCGCAAGAATTCGACGGAAAGATGGTCCGGTCCTGGAGCAACGAGTCTTTGAGGTCTGAATCGCCGTGCGCACTTCAGCAGGTAGAGAATTCGTGGTGGTACTTCTCCAGTGAAAACAACGGGCAAGGGCACGGGTGTTGATGAGCGAAAGAGGTTGGTATAGAAGTTCTTTGCGATAGGTTCCATGAAGGTTGAAGGTTTTTATGGGCAAAAAATTCAGACGATCAGTGTAAGAAGTCGTTGACTTTTCCAAGTGTTCCAAAGTGGCAGAGTTGGGTGAATATATTCAAATTAAGAATATTTATTGCAAAGAGTAACTCGAAAATCTTACAAGCCGTAGGAAAAATGTTACCACCGATTTTACCCTATTTGCACATGCAAATTTTTGCGCATAAAAAATTCGTAACTCCTCATCCCGAACCCACAGCAGTGAGGAGCGTAGTTTTGGAAACAGCGTTTCATAGTATCCGTCCCATATTAAGAGGCCACTTCGACTGATCTTCCTTTCCTTGTAAGTATGGCATGTAGGCACTACTTTCGCGCAGATTCAAGACGAGATCAAAATTATTGACACGAATTTGACAAGCTAGTATTTTTCTTCAACTGAACAGTGATGCAAATATTTCACAACTTTGCTTTGGCAAATGCAGCATTTTCTGACCGTTTTTGGATTCAGTGGGAGCATAACTCGGTCCGAAAGAGTTACTCAAAGCGGATACCCCCAAGTTTTATTTCAGAAATGAGCGATGCAAAGTGCATGTTTAGCGCTTAATGTTAATATCTAATAATTCAAAATCATCGCTGCATTTCCTATAGTGCAAGGTCCCAAGAAGATGTATAACGCCCGGTTTTCAATAACTGTCTTTTAGAGAAAGCTTTCAAGGCCAGTCAAACATCGTGTTCAGGGCTGGCTTCAACATAATTTGCACTATGGAGCAAATCACTGATCGTTACTGTAGGATTGCAGTAGGACCATTGAAGAAGGTTTTGAGCTGTAGAGGGACTATATTGCCTTAAAAACAAACCAAGCAACCGAAAACTCTTACACTAGGCTAACCAGGCGCGATAAAACTAACTATGAAGACTGTACTCTACTGCAGTGCTTTCTCGTAAATTACGCCTGATATAGTAACACTGTCTTCCCAATGTTTCTCAAAATGCGATTATGCTTCAGAAAACCTTTAAAACATGTAAAAAACATAAAGTAAAGTCAGCACGCCTAGGCTTGGGAAAATTGCTGGTCTTTTTAAAATTTTTGGTATGACGGTATTTCTCAATGGCGCTCTATGCTTAAAGTTTCCACAGTAATTTACAGTGATAAAAACAATCCTAAGTTGAAACTAGCTCCACAAACAACATCGTGTTTGGATGGCCACGAAAGCTCTCCATACAAACAAGTTATCAAAGATCAAATGTACACAACAATTTTGAGACATTTTGCATATTGGAAGCAATAATACTGCGAAAAGCTTATAAAGCGCACGTCATGGTAGAACGATATGGTGCATCTTACAGTAAGAAAGGAGAAAAGGCCAACGTGTGAAGAACGCCAGATGTATCTACATGAAGAGGCTTAGCAAAATGTACTGAAAAGCGGCGCTGAAACGATTCCAAAAACTTCTTAATAGTGAAAAGACATTCGATAGGAAGTCAAAAGGCTTGTTTTCGTACACAATTCTCCACTTCCGTTCTTTACAGTGTTGCCTTATTGTCAGAGCAGCGAATACAAGCTATTCAGAATCATGCAGCAATGTTGCTTGCTTTGTAGCGCTTTTCTGAGCGATGTTAAGAGCCCTTACCTCACACTGCTTGACTGTAAAGCCAAGCAAATTCTCAAGTAGTAGATTAGCAACGACGCAGTGTTGGGACTCCACAGATTCGTCGGTGATTTCGACATTCAATGACCATGCGCCATGTTTAGCGCTAAGTTCGCCTCTGATCCGACAGACACCCTAAACGAAGTATTACATAAGTCTTGTTGCACTTTGATCTCTTACGACGATAAGTCGTAAACTTCATAACTTTAATAGTGCTCCAGTGTACCATTCGATAAAGCAAAGCAAGCTCTATAAGAAGGTGCGCAAAATTTCGCACCACAGCTTACCCACCGAAGTTTGCATTCGGAATGTGAGTCGCACTGAAGGTTCAAGAAATTAGAAAAAAATCATATCTTTGTCCAAAAAATCCTACGGATTTCCAACCTGCTCATACGGATTGCACACCACATCAGACACTATATGTACCGTTGCCGTATTTTTTCCTCATTTAGAAATCGAGATAACGAAATTTTTCTTGTTTTTACAAAAACGATGCTATGCTGTTCGTACTCATGTAGTTGTATACCACACGTCCTTAAAGTATAATCGTAAATTTTCAGCTTTCCACAACCTAGTTTTCGAATACCAAATTTAGCATTGAAACCCGAGTGAGAAAAGCTAAAATCGGTATTTTTCGACAACTAGGACTTAAGGGAAGCTGGAAATTTACGGCTATATTTTAAGAGCTTGTGGTATACAACTACGTGAACAGAAACAGCATAGCTTCGTTTTGTAAGAACAAGAAAACTTTCGTTTTCTCATTTTTTAGATGAGGAAAAAGTACAGCAACGGTACATATGGGTGTCTGATGTGGACTGCAATCTGTATGAGCAGGTTGGAAATTCGTAGGATTTTTTGAACAAAGACATGAATCCCTCAATTTTTTCCTTCAGTACGACTGAGATTCAGGGATGCAAACTTACAGTGGATCGAAGCTGGTGCGAACTCTTGCATCCATCTTGTAGAGCTTTCTTTGCTCTATCGAATGGTGCCATGGAGCCCTATTAAATTCATGAAGTGCACTACTTATCGGCATAAGAAGTTAAAAGTGTAACAAGACTTAGGCCCGTATGCACGTACATCCCCGCGGAGAGGAGATGTGAGTTTAACCATTGCAATGATATCCGCTGGGGCTCCCCTCCCTTCCCCACGCGAATCCCCGTATGCAGAAAGGCAATACCGAAGAGAGGATCCCCTGGGAGTACGGGAGGGGACCCCCTAATGCAGAAGGGGCGATCGAGCGCGGTCACTTTGCTTCCGCTTTTTTGCAGTAATTATTGCTTTTTTCTTATCTTTTGATAGCTACTCGCCTTCAATGTGTCTCGGCGATATTTAGTGGTTGCAGAATGCCGTCTGCCGTGATTGCGGTCGGCACACGAAAGAAATATTTGCTACATCTATTATATTCCAGCTGTTTCATGCGTGCTGCCCATTTTCGCCCATGCTGCCCATTTCAGCTTAAAGGTGTTCAATGATAGAAGTCAAGGTGTATATGCAGTGAATGGGTAGAAGACGTTATGCTGCCGAAAAAAAGGTGGGAGGGGGTCCGCGGACATTCAAACCAGCATTTCTACACATAATTGAAGCTGCAAATCGTGCCAGCTCTCCATAAACGCCGTAGCTATCAGCTGCATATCGTCCTTTACCCCAGGGAATGATCCCCAGTGGCCATCCCTGCTATGCACGAGGCGATGGGGAGAGGATCATTCCCCCGAGGATCTTTACTCAGAAACACGCGAGTCTGCTAATTTTCAATTTATTCAAAGCAGTTTTACCTTAGGATAACAGTATAAGAACAATTTATCATATAATGTGATAGTTACAATATGTTCTACCAGCCTTAGTGGATAAAACTATCATGTCAAATAAAAAATGCGCAACTCTCGTGAATGGTCACAACCTTCTACAGATATTCAAAACTGGCAGATACAGTCTGCTCCAATTGGGATCAGGCCGCGACGTCGGCGTGAATTTGCGCGCTCGCAACGCTGGCGGTCTGCGCTGCATATGCGCGCTGTCGGAGAGCGCCAAAGGATTGAGGAGAGAGCAGAGAAGCAGACCGTGGGCGTGACCGCGAATCCTAGCGACGCGGACTCCCGCCATGCCAATTTTGGCCTGGTTGGGATTGGGGCAGACTGTATATGTCCAGGTTTCT